ACCACTCAAAGCATCAACAAAATAGAATTATACCACTCAAAGCATCAACAAAATATAATTATAACACTCAAAGCATCAACAAAATAAAATTAAACCACTCAAAGCATCAACAAAATATAATTATACCACTCAAAGCATCAACAAAATATAATTATAACACTCAAAGCATCAACAAAATAAAATTAAACCACTCAAATCGCTATTAAGTTTAACAAAATAAAAAATTGAATAACTGCGTTGTTTACATTAGTAATATACAACTAAAGCCACCACATTAAAATTATACCACTGAAGTTAAAATACGAAAACCGATATTGAAACACTCAACTAATTATGTCTGCTATAGAACTGAATCTGAATCAATATGTCAATCAGATAAAACAATTATTTTGATTATTTAAACTGAAAAGCTCATTTATTGCAAATTCTAGACTTGAACCTTTTCCATTGCAGCGTTATCATTTACGTTTCAACGCTGAAACTAAAATTGTGTTAATGAGTGATTGTCAGTTCCGCTAGTGTCATTGCACACTGTATATGTGAGTTGATGTAAATCATTTATTTGACGATAGCAAATAATAACAAAATGAATAGACAGTTTGAAAAACTGTTTTAGAAATGTCATTAGGCGCAAAATTGATGTCTTCGTTAGGATATACAACTATTACAAAGCGACATTTTCTATATATTTTTAGATTAAGGACCTAATCTTTTTTTAGATACTAAAATGGTGTATGCGTTGCTATGAAGCGGTGTCGTTGTGTATAAGTGCGCGTGTAGTAAATAAACAACAACACCAGAGAGAACAATACATTTACTTATAAGAGAAGCGACAAGATGTAGCGATAATATCGGGCCCAGCAGTGACATATGTAACAGGAAAGCATCCGACAGAAGAACTCCTAAACCGTGTTAAACTTCTAACATTGCTTATCTCGCCGTGTTAAACCTCCAACATCGCTTATCTCGCCGTGTTAAACCTCTAACATGGCTTATCTCACCGTGTAAACCTCTGACATTGCTTATCTCGCCGTGTAAACCTCTAACCTTGCTTATCACGCCGTGTTAAACCTCCAACATTGCTTATCTTGCCGTGTTAAACCTCTAACATTGCTTATCTTGCCGTGTTAAACCTCTAACATGGCTTATCTCACCGTGTAAACCTCTAACATTGCTTATCTCGCCGTGTAAACCCCTAACATTGCTTATGTCGCCGTGTAAACCTCTAACATTGCTTATGTCGCCGTGTAAACCTCTAACATTGCTTATCTCGTCGTATTTAACCTTTAACATTGCTTATCTTGCCGTGTTAAACCTCTAACATTGCTTATCTTGCCGTGTTAAACCTCTAACATGGCTTATCTCTCCGTGTAAACCTCTAACATTGCTTATCTCGCCGTGTAAACCCCTAACATTGCTTATCTCGCCGTGTAAACCCCTAACATTGCTTATGTCGCCGTGTAAACCTCTAACATTGCTTATCTCTCCGTGTAAACCTCTAACATTGCTTATCTCGTCGTATTTAACCTTTAACATTGCTAATCTTGCCAGTTAAATCTCTAACACTGCTTATATCGCCGTATTAAACCTCTAACATGACTTATCTCACCGTGTAAACCTCTGACATTGCTTATCTCGCCGTGTAAACCTCTAACCTTGCTTATCACGCCGTGTTAAACCTCCAACATTGCTTATCTTGCCGTGTTAAACCTCTAACACTGCTTATATCGCCGTATTAAACCTCTAACATTACTTATCTCGCCGTGTAAACCTCTAACATTGCTTATCTCGCCGTGTAAACCTCTAACATTGCTTATATCGCCGTGTAAACCTTTAACATTGCTTATCTCGCCGTGTTAAACCTCTAACATTGCCTGAGAACAGGCATTAGGTTAGAAACTTATGCTAAATGTGTATCATAGCTACCGACACACTTTCCGGAATTGTTAATGAAATGAGTTGATATAGGTACCAACAAAAGTCGAAAAGAATAGATAGTATATAGGCTGCATAGCACCTATATGACTTTTTCAATAGACCAACACAACTCTCGTTTGTAGCCAGTATCAACCTCTGTTATCATTTTATTATTATTTTATTAACATCTCTGCTATACCTTTAGTGTTTATATGTATAGTTAAATTAGTTTTTAATAGCTTTCATTTCGTTTGGGTTGGCATTTTTTTTCGGGACTTGCTTTAAACCACGCAAACATATAACTCCAAATAAAGCTACACTGCAACAAATCATCAGATCCCCTTTGGAATGAACTGATTTGTAGCATTTGTTGTATTACTCGAACGAAAACTAGACATAGAAAACAATACCCTCATGGATACCTTCACTATTTACAGACAAAGCATGTTTGAATAGAAAGCTAGATTTTTCATCACATGAAGAAAGAAGTTTTCGTTATTTTACTTGAACGATAATTAACTCGATTGTGTCTACACAACAGGGAGGACGTTGTACATTTTGCATAAATTTCTTTACTTCCACGATAGAATTTCGCATTACTTAAAAAACTATTAATCCAAATGAATCTTTATAATCTTAAATCAAATTCTTTTGTTTAAGAGAAAGTTACAAAAATCCTGTATAAAATCGTATTCAATGATTTATCAGATCAAAAATAAGCTACCCATAATGTCTTTTAATAGATCCTGGGCCACAGTCAGTATATGTGTCGGGGGCAGATACAGGAATTTATTTAGGGTGTTGCCCAACTTAAAAAATACACTTTATATATTTAAGCCACAAGTTTTGGCGCTTAGGAATAATCAATAGCATTGCCATGTCTAATGTAATTTTGTAGCTCAGCACCGTCCTCGTGTTAAGGTTTTAAAGACATTGTCGAATAACAAGAACGATATATTGATAACATAACATGAGTTTAAGCATAGTGCTTAACAGGCCATGGTTAATTGATTATTGATGTTTGTTTATTATGTATAGATATGAATGCATGCACTTTTGATACAACGTCTTACTTTTTACAGTGTTTGATTAACTTGTTGACAACAAACGGTTACTCAGATTGTTTGTGTGTTTCTTCTTTAAAGTGATAATATATCAGTATATTAGATAACATAAGTGAAATATATCACGTGATCATTTCCCTGAACAACTAGGTAAACTGTATCAGCATTGTAGATAGGTTCTGCCATTATTCACTGACCTATCTTCCCCTTTAACTTTTCAGACTTTCTCTGTCATCCCTTATGGCAGGATTTCTCTATAACCCTCTAGGGTCGGACAGATAGTAGGTGAAAAGAACGAGTATGAGAACGTCAAAGGAACATTGAAATAAAAGACAATTTAGAAATACTGCTACACAGTGTGCCATTTCATACAATAAGTCTCCTGTATACATACTGCAAGTGTTTGTAGTTAAAAATTAGCTCATATTTTTAAAACAAAAAGTCAGGGAACAACAAAGCGTCGAAAAAATATATACAAACATGAGCAAAGGAAATTTACATCGAGACCTTTGAAAAAGTACAAGGCCAGGTGTTTCGGAAGGATAAGCGTGAGCCGGGGTAGTGACAGCAATGAAACCAGACAACTAATGAGTATAATCAAAACCAATAACATGCATATCGCACAAAGAAATGATGTATTTCTCAATGATGTCAAGATGGGGACTATGAAACTTTCCACAGTTTCATCAACCAGCAAATGTCCATCAGCAGTCGACATCTATCACGCAAATCATTATTAACGATAGCATGCTCTTGAATACCCAATCATCTGCAACGCGTGAACACATTAGGTTAGGGAAGCATGGATATTGCTAGCAATAAAAGTAAAGTTCACAATCAGAAAACGCAGATAGTCCTGCTTATTGTTTAGCTCAGTACTAAGCCGGCCCAGTTGCTCATGCTTTAGTAAAGATCGAAGAAAGCGGCTGAAGTAAAAGAAACCATATTTAGTGTCCTTGATTTCAAGTTCAGGAGGACATATACGATAGCTGTGGTGAATAGATATCTACAGACAGCGCATCGTCGATACATCTGAATGTGAAAAAGAAGGACTTGATGAGGTTTTACTACCAGTCCTGATAGGCTCATCAATAAATTCAGTCCCATAATTAAAACAAACAGTTGGTCAGAAGAGGGACACAGTTTTTTCCCGTAGGAATGCTTACATTGTACTGGAAACCACTGAACTAGGCAACGATATTGTCCATAAGAAACTCATTTATCATAACAATGTCATCCCCAGTATATTTGATTTTGGTTGTTGTTGTTGTGCTTTTCACATAATGTGCTCCAAAATAGTTCCTTTCTTGGAAAAGAGATACATCGTTAATAGAGAACGAAGGCGTTCCTACAGTTGGACTTCTGGAGTTAAGTGTTTCAATACGATTTTAACCATGCTTGAATGGTACCAAGAATTGTTGGCAGGGTTTGGACAAACGCTCGTAATACAAACTTAGTCTGGTCGTTACGTTTATGTCTCAATGTTGTTATTTCTATTTAACTGTAAGTGTTATATCGTCAGAATTATGATGTCGATTTACAATTTGGTAAGGTAAGGGGTGATCACGTGATCAATGGAGTAATCTCAACCTCAACAAAACATAGATTATTTCACATATTTACGCTATTTATCGGTCCGTGTAATACCCATGTTACAATTCCCATCATTATCGGGCTAGCCTGTGCAAGTTTAGGAGTGTCCATAATTTGAAACAGACTATAGTTTTCACGGCAACTCCCACAAAAACTGGATTCGTCGGTTTTACTTCCTTGGTTGTTGGTGGCCATGAGGAAGAACTGAGAGGAGCATGAACTGTGGTCATAAGGTAGAATGTCCTAGCTGATGTTACACGTGTTTACTGAGTGAATGTCAATGTAGACTGTATATCCAACAGGGTGAACCATACTTCCATAATGTTAAACCGTGACATATAAATCTAAATTTAGATGTTAACGAGAGCCGCTTAACTCAGGAATTAAATGTCTGGAATATACCTACCTGTGTGTAATTTCTATTTATAGAATTTCGCTGACATACTAGTTAGCAGGTTTAGTCAGATACATATGCATAGTTAATTCATCGATAATGCGTTCAGTATACTATACATTCTGTGTTAAATTGGTATATACTAGCAGGACAAAGTGATCTTACGTTACAGTGGTGTCTCGCTGTCTAGGCTCCTGTCCTGGTGTGTTCGTGGTAATTGCGAGTACGTTAAACTCTATACAAACAAACTAAGTGCTGTCTGACCTTGTATGGACCTTTCATTTACAGAATGTAGTGTGTCTGCAACAACGGATTCTAGAAAGAGAAAGAGACAGAAACAAACTGTACGATGTGAGGTAAAGCGACCTGGTTCAAATCTCAACAGAAGAGACAGCGACCGTATCGTAGGACAAGAGAGTCAGTATTTCTTCCTCTCCAATATCAGATCGCATAATTTGTAAATATTTAATTTATTGATCTTACTAATTCACAATTCATAAAAAACAAGTTCAATTTCAACGTCAACAAATATCACTGACCGTAAAAGAGTGTTACCACGTCCTCAGACTTGGACAACACTCTTAAGGCCTATATAATTAGTTAAACTTGGTGTCATAATGACACACGTTTTATATAGTTTTTACTTTTATAAATGACAAGGATATTAACTATGTCAATTATTTCAATAATCAAAAAAACCTTATTTAGACCATATGACAAAAATGTAGAAGTCGTGTGTATGATTAACTACATTAAAATTGCTTATTATCATATGAAAGTATTTAAGAAATCAACAACATATTTGTGTGTTTCATGGCTGAATTTTCAGGTACTTTCATTTGCATGTCATTATAAATGCTATATAGATTCTCTCTCTCTCTTTCTCTCTCTCTCTCTCTCTCTCTCTCTCTCTCTCTCTCTCTCTCTCTCTCTCTCTCTCTCTCTCTCTCTCTCTCTCTCTCTCTCTCTCTCTCTCTCTCTCTCTCTCTCTCTCTCTCTCTCTCTCTCTCTCTCTCTCTCTCTCTCTCTCNGTATTTGATATTTTACTTATACTAGAAGGCAGTAATAGTTCTTTTTTATTTAATTTTTGCAGGATTATTTACAGGGTACAATGACAACACCTGCAGACGAAATCCCAGCTGTTGTCATTGATAACGGAAGTGGGATGTGTAAAGCGGGATTCGCCGGAAACGATGCCCCACGCGCTGTGTTTCCACCGAGAGTGGGACGGCCGAAATGTGCAGTAAGTTTGATCGATTTATAACCATCCTGGCTGCCATTTCTCTTCCCAATCATATTCCGACTTTATGACGGCAGGAAAAACAACTATTTGCGGTGTTATTAAGTATTCCTTGGCAACATCGTTCCAGCTATGTGTACGCCTCTCAATATGATAATTGCGACTGAAGTTAATGTATCATTTTTTAAAATTCTTTTCGTCTGAATTCTTTAACAAAAATATTTAATTTTCTTGTTGTTGTTTTAATAAGTTTTACATTTTTTAAATTATTTTATTTCAAGTAAAGAGATATTTTGCGGATAATGTTATTAAAAAGCACATGTCTTCTTTACAATATCACATGACTTAAGTTTGCGCACTGAAAATGTTTGTACCTTTTCGTTCAATCTTTTTCGACAGCCTGAAATGGTTGGTATGAAATATAAAGATTGCTATGTGGGAGATGAGGCTCAGGTTAAACGTGGAATTCTGACCAAGGAGTTTCCGTTAATGAAACGTGGAATTATCACCAACTGGGACGATATGGAAAAGATCTGGCATCACATCTTCTTCAACGAGCTCCGTATGGCTCCCGAGGAGCATCCAGTCATATTGACAGAGGTACCACTTAATCCAAAGGCAAACAGAGAAAAAATGATACAGGTACCAAAAGCTCTGTTGTAATCAAATGCGTGAATAATAACAAAATAAAATAACGGTATGGAAAAACTTTACACGATTAATGTATATATAGTTTTGTGAGAGAGAGAGAGAGAGAGAGAGAGAGAGAGAGAGAGAGATAGAGAGAGAGAGAGAGAGAGAGAGAGATAGAGAGAGAGAGAGAGAGAGAGAGAGAGATAGAGAGAGAGAGAGAGAGAGAGAGAGATAGAGAGAGAGAGAGAGAGAGAGAGAGATAGAGAGAGAGAGAGAGAGAGAGAGAGATAGAGAGAGAGAGAGAGAGAGAGAGAGATAGAGAGAGAGAGAGAGAGAGAGAGAGAGTAAACAATTTGGTTCCAGAGATCTTGAGAGACACGTGTAGAAATGACTTCGTTAGTCGTCAGTTGTGTTTCTATGTAATGTATATATATGTATCAATGGATATGTTAATAATAATATTTAACAGATAATGTTCGAGAAATTTAACACGCCTGCCTTTTACATGGCGCTACCGGCTGTGCTGTCGCTGTACGCCTCCGGACGGACCACGGGGATCGTGTTTGATGCCGGGGATGGCGTGTCACACGTGGTACCTATATACGAGGGCTACTCCCTCCCTCACGCCATCAAACGTGTTAACCTGGCAGGTCGTGACCTCACAGCCTACCTCCAGAGGATTCTCAATGAAAGAGGATACAACCTCACAACCTCATGTAAGCCTTTTTGTAAAATTATGATTTGTCTCTTGTAAAATAAATATAATATCAGATTCAGCAATTTGCGTTACCGTTAGGCGAAGCAGCATATTTTTTCTTTTAATCCTTATACAAAACTTTTGGAATTAGTAAATTTCTGCGTATTACATCAATAGCTGAAATGGAGATTGTCCAGGATATGAAGGAGAAGATGGCCTATGTAGCTTTAGACTTTGAGAGTGAAATGATATCAGCATCTACCGTGGAAAAGCCGTACAAATTACCGGACGATGGAGTTGTCACCATTGGCAACGAAAGGTTTCGGTGTCCGGAAGTTTTCTTTCAACCATCGTGTTTAGGTTAGTAGAGACACTTTTGTGGCGTAAAATATTAATATTAGCATTATTTGTTTCTTTGATTCCGAATTCGTCAGTAAAATAAACAACTTTTATAAACATCACCATCTGTTTTACAGGAATTGAATCCAACGGAATTCACAAACTGCTACATAACTCAGCCATGACTTGTGATATCGACATCCGACGAGAACTCTTCAGCAATGTCGTCCTGTCCGGCGGAAGTACTATGTTTACAGGTACGGAAAAATATTTTGTGTCGATATGGTAGTTGATTCGATGGATATTCGAAATCCAAGGGTTTCATCTTCTTAACACCTATTGAATATGTGATTGTATCAACAAAATCAAAGGCTTGCAGTAAGCCATTTGATTTTTTTCATATATAAAGACCTGGGCCCGTATTCATGAAACCGTTCTCATGCTCAAGCATGGATTCTGTTCTCAAATCAACTTTCTTGTAACTCGCTTAAATCTTGTCAAACGATCAAAAAGTCAAATGTTAACATTGGAAACAGTTTTCGACTTTAAGTCTCTTCAATGTTTATCCAAATTTTTGAAAAAAAGAACATTTTTTAAGAATTTATAACGGAAAAAGAAATTAGGCTTGAGCACAAATTCCATACTTAAGCATGAGAACGGTTTCATGAATACGGACCCAGACAATTTGCTAGATTTATCTTTCGAATTAAAAGCCGTTCGATAGTACCGTTACGTTGCCGCACAGTTTCTTTCATCTTCATCAAGGACTTCCAAACCAGTCAATTGTATCATCCGCAATGTGGCGCATAAATAGCTTTCAATTTTGTCAAGACATATTCCGTAGTGGCAGATATAATGTGTAGATGCTGATGAAGGAATATTTAACACTACATAGACGTTAGTATGACATTTGCTATGTGTTGAGACAAGCAGTATTCACTATTACATTATTTTTTTCCTATGTTTTATAGACTTTTGTGAACTACAATATTTCTTTCTTATAATTTAGGTATGGCAGACCGATTAAGGAAAGAGTTGCATGGCATTGTACCTGACGTTATGAAAGTCAAGGTCATCGCACCACAGGATAGAATATATTCCGCGTGGATTGGTGGATCTATCCTGGGTTCCCTATCCACATTCCAACAAATGTTGATCTCAAAGCAGGAATATGGTGAATGTGGACCAGGAATTGTTCATAGGAAGTGTTTTTGAAAAGAAAATGTCAACATTCAAGAAGATGAGGATTTCAAAACAGGACTATGAAGAGTCCGGACCACGAATTGTTCACCAAAGGTGCTCCTATAGCTCATACTCCCATGCTCAATAGGATTGTTATTGACTTAGTGTTTGTTCAGGAGGAGACAGCTTTTTATCTCAAGGATAAATTGAAGAAAAAAACAGTTTCTTCCATATGTGAATAGACAGGAGTTTTTCACTATTTCTTATGGAAGCTTTATACCGTTTGATGTTTCGCTGAACATAATATACTCAAATACATGTACCTCATTTTACATATGCACTAATTAAATTAAAAATGTGTACATCTTTGCATTGGTCTCTTCTGCATAACCTCTGGCTGACAACTAGTATGGGCAGGTTTCGTTGTTACCTTAATAACGTCACTGGGGAAGATACTTTTCCATTGTTCAATATCAATATCACCGTTTTCATTTGATCATTAGTGTTCCTATTAGAACGTAACAAATCTTGTATTTGTTATCTAGATTTACATGGTGGACGATGTCGTCGATGTAGCAGAACTTCTGGATCACCTGGTCTACTTTGAAATATAATTAAGATACGTATTTAAGATATGAAACGCGATCTAAAACAAAGCTTTATCAGTGGCAGATAAAAGTTCATTGTCAACAAAAACACAAATAATATACAAAAAAATAAATATAAAATGGTGAAGAATCATTATCAAGAAATATCGAAAGATACATACATGTTAAAACACGATATGGGTAACAGATTTAATGAGAATGCTTGATACGCACAGTGGTATATACAAATATAATGTACATAGCACCATCAATATACCATATACCATACACACGTCTTATCGTCAAAAATGGAAATGCAAAAAGTATTATCAACATAATAAAATGGAAACGGAAAAATGATTATCTACATAAATACATTAAACATACAACTTAAATGTCAGTTAGTAAAAGAAGGATATTGATATGTTTATCGACATATTTACACAATACATATATGCTGTCAATAAAAAATAGAAATATAGTATGGTAATCTACATTAATAAAACAAACACATACATTCATCGTCAAAATTAATAAAACAAAATAATGATTACCTACGTACATACGCTATACCTATATGTCCATGTCCATAAATAATAGCAGAATATTAAAGTCGAATAATTAATACACCAGACACGCATGTAAATTACTGATAAGAAAAAGAAACGCAATGATGAGAACCACACGTATGTTGTTATAAAACAATAGAAACAACAATGTTTACCTACATGTTATATATAGTTGAAAATTTAACACATATAATGTCCAATGATCTCAGTGAAATAGATATTAAAATTTGATGAAACGCATGTCCATATAACAATGTTACTTTTATAACACAATACGTAAAAAATGTTTTTTCTAAGAACACTTCCGATGAACAATTCCTGGTCCACATTCGTCATATTCCTGTTTTGAAATACACATCTGTTGGAATGTGGATAGGGAACCCAGGATAGATCCACCAATCCACACGTAGTACTTCCTCTCTGGTGCGTCGATAACCCTGACTTTCATGCTACTTGGCACTATAGCATTCATTTCCTTCTTCAATCGGTCAGCAAATCCTATAAATAGAAGACAAATGTTCCTATTAGAATAGTTACTGAAGCCTTGCAATGGTCAAAGTTAATAAACCTATATCAGGTTTATTAAAAAATCAAATCATCGCGTCCTTAAGAAATACACTTACATGACGCCATCAAAAGTAGTGTTTAAGAAGCTTTGGTATTAGAAAATTATTAAGTGAGCACTCACCAGGAAACATTGTAGAACCACCCGATAGGACAACATTGCTGTACATGTCACGTCGAATGTCAATATCACACGACATCACAGAATTATGGAGAAGTTCATGAATTCCTGCTGATTCCATTCCTGAAAAAAAATCGTAATGTGAAAATCAATTAAAACAACACTGCTACTATTGGTTGTTGGCTTGTATATCCAAACACACGCTACACTTGTGTACATAATTATATACTCTATCATAATGTCGTTACTATTGTTAGCTCATAGCATATCAATTAATTGTAAAAGATTACTTATACTGAACCCTACATTTTGTTTTTGTTAAATTCTAATTTCTAGTACTGCAATTATAGACGATTGGGCTTTCTACAAAATACATATTGTTTTGTGTAGGTTTCGTTTTTTCTGAACACATGGGCTAGCAAGATTATGTATAGAATATATATGAATAGTAACATAAATGTACGCGCAACTACACAGAACAAAACATCATGTGAAATTGCGTATTTATTTACTAATAATTCATATTTATTCCCCATCTATCGACGTTTCAGTCAAAATAGAGGAGCATAAATATTTACCTATGAATGATGGTTGGAATAGGGTTTCTGGACACCGGAACCTTTCGTTTCCAAAAGTAACGAGCTGGCCATCTGGAAGTTCATAAGATCGCTCTATTGATTTTGATGATGATTCCATTTCAGTTTCGAAGTCTAGAGCAACGTAGGACATTTTCTCCTTCATGTCATGTACAACCTCTAATTCAGCTGAAAAATCATTGCATAAAATATAAACACGTCATTGTCAATGATATCAGCTTTCCTATGAATAATAAATAATTGACAATATATAAAAAAGAAAATAAGAAAAGTGAAAGATCAACCGCTGTAGATTTAATTAATTATAACATATAATGTAGTCAGAGTCAGTTATATTTTTTATAAAAACTTCGACCAACCTGAAGTTGTAAACAGTAGCCTCTCTCTTGGAGGATCCTCTGGAGGTAGGCTGTGAGGTCACGACCTGCCAGGTCCACACGTTTGATGGCGTGATAAAAAGAGTAGCCCTGGTAGATGGGTACTACTTGTAACACGCCATCCCCGGCTTCACACACGATCCCTGTGGTAGTTCCGGAAGGGTACTGGGAGAGCACAGCCTGTATCGCCACGAAGAAGGCAGGCGTGTTGAACGACTCGAACATAATCTACAAGATACAAAATAGTTGCTGGTCAGTAGCGTCACTTTCTACAAATAATGGCAACATGATGATGTTCTTATTTAAGAGACTGTTAAGTTTACTTTTACATTTTTAGAGAAATCAACCATGTACATGTAATTGTCAGAGATAAAGAACCTTAAACAAAACAAACGTTTCAAAGTTTACAAAAGTAGATAATGATCAAATAATTATTGGATGTAATAAATATGCCACATACCTGTGTCATTTTTTCTCGGTTGGCCTTAGGATTTAATGGCGCCTCTGTCAATATGGCCGGATGTTCCTCTGGAGCCACACGCAGCTCGTTGTAGGTGTGATGCCAGATCTTCTCCATGTCGTCCCAGTTGGTGACGATGCCGTGTTCTATAGGATACTTCAAGGTGAGTATTCCCCGTTTATTTTGTGCTTCGTCTCCAATGTAACAATATTTATCGCCCAATCCAGGCATGATCATCTGTGAGCAGTAAACGTGTAGTTTGGACTATGAAAGCACGGTCAGGGACCTAACTATCCAAGGTTATTTCATAATTTGCGAGAAATATATGAAAGTTTACTCAACAATAGTTACAAGTAAAGAGACAAACACACTTACATTATGATGTGGTCTTCTCGTAACGGTGGGGAAAACGGCACGCGGGACATTATCCAAAGCAAAACCGGCCTTACACATTCCATTTCCGTTGTCAATGACAACAGCTGGGGTTTCTTTCTCAAAAAGAGACATTTCCTTCTTTTTAGTCTCCTCTTGTATATGCTGCAGAGAAAAGGGTTAAACTGAAATTAACCTTAACTACACAGGTGCATATATTTATATGAATTAAAAATTTCCCTAGCTTCAAAAGTTATGGGAAACTTCTTAATTAGTCATTAAAACAAGAATTTATGACAAAAAAGATGTTACATTGTTATAGATATACTGAATAAAACAAGAATATATCACACAAAAAATATATATTAATGCGTCATATAATATACTGAATTAACATCGATTAAATAATAATAAATAAATCATTGACACATACCTTCTGATATATTATGATTGGAAGGCTCTTTGTCCTGCTGCTGTTGTCTGGTCTCTCGTGTGTCTGTATGTCGGCTATACACCCATGTCTTATAAAGGGTCTCTTCTTCTGTTTCTGTAAAATTGTCCATGTTAGGTATGGATTGTGGTTACAACTAATATTATCCACACAAAGATTCTAAAGCACGTGTTCCAATAATAGGAATAACTTCCTTCACAATGTTATTATATCTTCCCATATTATAAGGCATTCCTTACTCTACTCTACCATGTGGGTCAATTAATCCCGTTGTAGTAGACTCGGTGAAATTGAACCTGTATAGTCAGCACTATAGTCGATAATCTAAATATAGCTATTACTTTATATGCATGAACGATCTTTCTAAGTGTAGTACTAAAATCCGATTGCACATATACAGGTGGATATACACATATATACATAACTTCGGTTAGAAGTATACAACCATTACTTAAACCGCAAACCCAAGAATCGTAATACTGTGGAATGAACATATATATTCGGTATATATCCGTAGCATCATTGCTTTTCATATCTTATTAAAAAAATCTACTGAAAAAGGACAATGTTATTGAAGTGTCGATCCCTTTGTAGCATATTGGTAAAAGTTTCTCCAAGCTACGAGATGCTTTCCCTTTAATCAGCGAATGTCAAATACCAGCGTATAATTTAAGCAGTTTATTGTTAAAATTACTTATAATTGATGGATTTTAGCAATTTAAAATATTTTAAGAAGATAATCACGAAATTAAGGGTTTGAATTTTGAGAGATCTTTGCATTTATCTTAAAAAAACTTTGAGATGATAGATGCTACTCTGCATCTGCAGCTTCCAGATAACTTGACATTCACCTTCAGTATGACCACAATCACACGAAATACAAGGAAAGAAACACCTATTGTATAATGTGTCTGTTGATGCAGACAACCACACAAGGTCAACATTTTACAGCGCCATGTGGCCATTATCGTCTATAGGTTCACACCCTATGTCTACAGTATTATAATGGTCGTCTCATTTACAGGTTGACGGTAATTGATAACTTCGTTTTCTAAGCAAAATTGTCTTTTTCATTATGTCCTAAACCATTTGTAATGTACATGTTTCCTTTGTTTTTCAGACAACAGGATGGGTGTCATGGTGTCACTTGTCGTGGAAACCCTATCTTTCCAGAACTGGGGTGGGTGGGGTGTTGTGATGACTATCATAGAGACACATGCCATGGAACCGTTCCTTTTCCAGAACTTGGGGGGAGGTGGGNGGGGGGTATGATGATAATGGATGTCATTAAAACCCTTGTCGTGGAAGCTTTCCTTTCAGGTTCAGTGAAAGTTTAAGATGCATTACATTTGTATTGATGTCCCTAGGTTTCTGTTGGTGTCATTTTGTAGTATCCTCGATACTCCAGGGGTTATGTTCAAATACGTTCCTTGCATAGAGCGTAAGCGAGCGTTACCCCTGAAGTATCGAGAATGATTTTGTAGGAACTTTTGATTCCAACTGTGTCCTTATTTATGACGATATATTATTTTATGTTGTTGTTGTTGTTGTTGTTGTTCTGTAAAGGTATGTTTTTGTTGTTTCTTATATGATATACTGATGTGCTCGGAACTGTGTGTGTTATATCTAATGAAAAGATTTTTAACATAATTTCATTACAGTCATTTTCTGACTAAATAATAGAAATCAAACCAAAGGACAAAAGTAAAACATTTGTTAAGAAGTACACTCAACCAGCAGATAACATCCATTTTTTAGAACTAGACTCCATACATAAAATTGACTGTGATGTTTTTTCTTTGTCATATTAAGAGAAAGATAAAGCATACAACATACAAAGAGGAAATGGACACTCAAATGCAATTGGGAAAATACAACAGGAACCGAGGAGGCACCAAGCATGGAATGACACCATAAAACCCTCAACAGACACAGAAAAAGGACCAGAGACCAGATCGTGTCATGTTTACCTTGTACTACAACACCGATCATGAGGTCTTCTGTAAAATCCTGGAAAGAGTGTTAGTCACGAAATGTGTTTGATAACAATGACAGACATGCAGTACTTCAGGGGTAACGCTCACCTCCGCTCTCTGTGCAGAGAACGCAATTGAACATAACCCCTGAAATATCGAGGATACTACAAAATGACACCAACAGAAACCGATGGACATCAAAACATATGTAATGCATCATAAACTTACACTGAAAAGTAGGCTTTCACGACTTGTGTCTCAATGACACCTATTACCATCATACCCCTTCCCCCAGTTTGGAAAGGAGGGGTTTCAGGACATGTGTCTATAACACCAAACATAATCCACGGTCTACCGATATCCGTTTTTTTCATGTTTGCCATAGTTTCATTGATTTAGAGATCGAACTATGAATTGTCTCCTGTGAGTTAGTATTTTTGTACTCCTTCAAGGTCAATATCCGTATTTATTTTCATATTTTGCATTAATTTTATCGATTTTGAGTTCAAATCATTTTGTCGGAGAATAAATAATATTTGAATCCCTGGCACATGTCTGTCTTGATTTGGTCTTTCCTCTCTTTCTGATTTTGTCTTAAGATATATCTTTCTTGAGTTGGGATTTTGACCTTGCGAGTTAAAGGTTCGCTATTTATTTGCAATTTCTTTACTGTATTAACCATTAGTTACACTTTCAGTCAACATTTGTGCTATGAAAAAACATAGTCATACTGTATAACGATGATTGCACTTTGTTTGTTCTAACATCCACGCTATGAATAAAGGAGAAGGTAAAGACATAGATGGTTGATAAAAGTCGACACAAGAAACAGATGACGTAAATTGCTTACTAAGCTTATTCACCTCAACAAAAGTCCATAATTGACAAATATTTCCCACGAGTAAGCAGTATGATATGTCTCTCACGAAATAATACTTTGAAATGTATTTCGAGAAAGATAATAAGAAAACAATAATATGTAAAACGTATTTCAGATATGACACGCGATCTAAAACAAGAACTAATCAGTTGTATATAAAATTTATTGTCAACAAAAAAGTAAATAACATATAAATAGATATTTACAAAGTTTAAGATTCATTTTCATGAGAAACCACATGAAACCTTAATGTTAAAAAACCGATATTAGAAACTGAAGTAATGAGAATGCTTGACACGTACACTGGTATATACATAAAAGCACCATCAATATACCATACACCATACACTCGTCTTAATCGTCGAAAATAATAGAAACAAAATAATGATTACCTACGTAAATAAATAATAGTAGAAAAATAATAGCTAGCTACAAAATTACATCACACACATACATTAAATGTTAATAAGAACCAAAGATATAACCAAGGTTATCTACATAAACACATCATACACATATGTAAATTATGTAAAAAGAAAAGTAAACACAATGATGACACTCACATGCTTATTGCTATTTAACAATAGAAACACAATAACGGTAACCTACATGTTAATTAACAATAGAAACACAATAACGGTAACCTATATGTTATCAATGTCCACTGATCACAGTGAATAGATATGAATATTGGATGAAACACATGCCCATATTACAATGCAACGTTTTATAACACAGTACATATAAAAAAATCAAAAGCACTTCCTATGAACAATTCCTGGTCCACATTCGTCATATTCCTGTTTTGAGATCCACATCTGTTGGAATGTGGATAGGGAACTTAGGATAGATCCACCAATCCACACGGAGTACTTCCTCTCTGGTGCGGCGATCACCTTGACCTTCATGTTGCTTGGCACTATAGCATCCATTTCCTTTTTAAACCGGTCAGCAATACCTATAAATAGAATACAAATGTTTCTATTAGAATTGTCATTGTAGCTTTTAAATGATCAAAGTTAATAAATCAAATTCATTAAAAATACAATCATCGCGTCCTTCAAAAGAAGCTTTGGTATTAGAAAGATATTAAGTGAGCACTCACCAGGAAACATTGTAGAACCACCCGATAGGACAACATTGCTGTACATGTCACGTCGAATGTCAATATCACACGACATCACAGAATTATGGAGAAGTTCATGAATTCCTGCTGATTCCATTCCTAAAATAAAATCGTAATGTTCTACTTTAATATCTTGAATCATGTGAAATGTCGGAGTGAATATCAATTAAACCAACACTGCTTCTATTTATTTTGGACATGTATATATCCAAACGCACGCTACACTTGCGTACATATATATTCTATCATAATGTCGTTACATATCAATTAATTGTAAAATATTACTTTAACTGAACCCTATATTCGTATCTATTTTTTTCTTCTAGTACTGCAATTATAGACGATCGGGCATTCTACAGAATACATATTCTTTGCAGGTTTCATTTGTTTCTGAACACATGAGCTTGCAAGGATATATATAGGATAAATTTGAAGAGTAAAATAAATGTATGCGTAACTAGACAGAACAAAACATCATGTAAAATGTATTTGTTTAAGGAATGATTTTTATTTTTTCAACATTTATGAGGTCATAACAACAATGGGTTTATGGACATATTGAATGAATCGCGTTAGCGATTCATGTAAAATATGTCCAAAAACCCATTGTTGTTATGACCTCATAAATGTTGAAAAAATAAANTTAAGCATCTAGGTCGGTCGTTCCGAGTGAGTAGTTTTTGTAGTGTATTACTACGCAGTGTGATCAGGTTACTATCAGTTCCCACGTGCTGAGATTCTATGAACACCTGTGTTAAGCATTTATGAATGTAATTTTTGTCAATCGGTCTAAGCATACAGAATGTAAATATTTACTTATAATTTATATTTATTCCACATCTTTCGAAGTTTTAGTCAAAATAGAGGAGCATAAATATTTACCTATGAATGATGGTTGGAATAGGGTTTCTGGACACCGGAACCTTTCGTTTCCAATAGTAACGAGCTGGCCATCTGGAAGTTCATAAGATCGCTCTATTGTTGACGATTTTGATGATGATTCCATTTCAGTTTCGAAGTCTAGAGCAACGTAGGACATTTTCTCCTTCATGTCACGTACAACTTCTAATTCAGCTGAAACATAATTATATAAATTATATGTACGCCATTGGCATCAGCTTTCATAAAAATAATAAATAATTGACAATATATAAAAAAACGAAAACGAAAGTGATAGATCTACGCGGTTAATTTAATAAATGTTATTATTAAATATAGTCAGGGTTAGTTATTTATGTTATGTATTAAAACTTGGACCAACCTGATGATGTGAAATTGTATCCCCTCTCGTGGAGGATCCTCTGGAGGTAGGCTGTGAGGTCACGACCTGCAAGATCAACACGTTTGATGGCGTGAGGGAGGGAGTAGCCCTCGTAGATAGGTACCACGTGTGACACTCCATCCCCGGCATCAAACACGATGCCCGTGGTCCGTCCAGAGGCGTACAGAGACAGCACAGCTTGTATCGCCACGTAGAAGGCGGGCGTGTTAAACGTCTCGAACATGATCTACAAGATACAAAATGGTTGCTGGTCAGTAACGTCATTTTCTACAAATAATGGCACAATGGTAATGTTCTTATGTAGGAGTACATTTATATTTCAAAGAAATATGGCAATTTTTAAAGAACCTTAAACCGAACAAAGGTATCAAATTTTACAAAAGTGGATAATCATCAAAGAATGCTTGGTTGTAATAAATATGCCACATACCTGTGTCATTTTTTCTCGATTGACTTTAGGATTAAGTGGCGCCTCTGTCAACATCACTGGGTTGTCTTCAGGAGCCACACGCAGCTCGTTGTAGAAGGTGTGATGCCAGATCTTCTCCATGTCGTCCCAGTTGGTGACGATGCCGTGTTCTATAGGATACTTCAAGGTGAGTATTCCCCGTTTATTTTGTGCCTCGTCTCCAATGTAACAATCTTTATCGCCCAATCCAGGCATGATCATCTGTGAGCAGTAAACGTGTGGTTTAGACAATGAAAGCAATGCTTAAGTTTTATCCAAGGTTATAAGTGATTTTCGTGAAATATACGAAAGTTAACTAATAGATAGTTACTATTAACGAAATAAATACAAACACACTTACATCATAATGGGGTCGTCCCGTAACAGCGGGGAAAACGGCACGTGGGGCATCATCCCCAGCAAAACCCGCCTTACACATTCCACTTCCGTTGTCAATGACAACAGCTGGGATTTCTTCCTCAAAAACAGACATTTTTTTTCTTTTAAGTCTTCTCTTGTATATGCTGCGGAGAAAGGGTTAAACTGAAATTAATTACAGCTACACAGGTGGTAACATATATCTACACAGGTGGTTAACATATATCTACACAGGTGGTAATATACATCTACATAGGTGGTAACATATATCTACACAGGTGGTAACATATATCTACACAGGTGGTAACATATATTTACACAGGTGGTTACATATATCTACACAGGTGGTAACATACATCTACACAGGTGGTAACATATATCTGAACTAAAAAAAACACCTACTTTCCAAAATAATAGGAAACTTCTTAATAAGTCATTAAAACAAGAATGAATTGATGACAAAAAATATGTTACATTGTTATAGATATATCGAATAAAAACAGGAATATATCACACACAAAATATATATTAATGAGGCATATATAATATACTGAATTAACATCGATTAAACAATAAATAAATCATTAACACATACCCTCTGATATATTATGAACGGTCGGTCCTGATTCTGTTGGCTTGTCTCTCGTGTGTCTGTATGTCGGCTGCACACCCGTGCCTTATATAGGGTCTCTTGTTCTGTTTCAGACCACAGCTACAAATCCAGTGTCTATCGAATTTTCCATATAAGGTAAAGAGGGTGTTTATAAACATTATCATCGACCAAAATAAACTAAAGCACGTCTTCCTATAAAAGGAATAACTAACTAGACACTGGCACTATCTTCCATATAAGGCAACCCCTACTCTACTCTCTACCATAATAGGTAAATATAGACCCCGTGTAGTAGCCTCGGTGTAATTGTACTTGGTAGTCAGCACTCCGGTCGATAATCTAAATATAGCTATTACTTTATATACACGAACGATCTTTCTAAGTGTAGTACACAGGTAAGGTAAATATACACACAAACATATAAGTCCGTTTAAAAGTTATAAGTATACGATCATTTGTAAGCCACAAGTCCAGGGATCATAATACTGAGACACGAAAATGATTGCTTTTTATTTTTTCTCAAAACACTGTTTTAAAGCCAATGTTATTTGAGTGTCGATTCCTTTGCAGCATATGGGCAAAAGTATAAAATGATTGAGCATCACAAGTTTTTCCAAGCTTACAATATTTTCCCCTTAAATCAGCAAATGTCTAATACCAAAGCGTAATTCAAGGTTCAACAAGCCCCCTAAAAGATGTAATAGTGACCCTAAATTTCAACCCCTGGCAAGTCATAGTAATATACCCTTCTCAAAAATCAGAATATATATATATGTAATTTTAATATATTGAACTTGTTCATGAGCTATTAAAAAGGTACATAACCAGGTTAACAAAGTCAAAATACGGCATTAAGGTTGATGTAATGATAAAAGTTGATCACCAGATTTATAACATGTCAATCTCTTAAGCGACCCAACTCAATGTTACGAAATGACATGGTATTTGAAGATCATTTATATACCTAGGTCATGCGGGGCTTTATTTCTCTTTGACTATGTGTGGAGAGGTATAACAGCCTCTCAAGAAGATGATTGTTGCTATGGGAAAGTTCCAAAATCAAAGTAAAATGTCCGCGTAACATATTTCACCGGTATATATGTGTAAAACCATAGACCTTTGACCATTAACACTACTTAAACTTAATATAAAATGTAATTTCTTAATATTCAATATTTTTTTATAAAAGAGCTAGACTTGTTATAAACATTATTGTACTTTTCAGCTTCAATGTTTATAACATTTCTAGCGCATTCATATACTCACAGAATGTTATCAAATGGCCAATCAACTAAAGTTCATTTATCGATCAAGGTTACTTAGCCTTTGTTTTCTTATTTATATAAATTGCTAATATGTATTACCAGGGATTTTACTATGATTTTAGTAGTTTCGCATGGCAACATCTATCTTTATTTGAGGTCGGAATTCCTCTCAACAGCTAGTAGAAGAGAAATAAAGGTCCGCGTGACCTAGGTATATAAATAAGCTTTAAACTATGGGTAATTTCTCAACATTCAGTTGGATCGCAAAAGAGATTGACATGTTATAAGTCCAGTGAGCTATTTCTATGAAGACATCAGCCTTAATTCCTTATTTTTTACTACGTTCCCTTGGCAATGTATTTTTGTATAGCCAATGTAAAAGTTCAATATATACAAATAACATATATAAGTTCCTATTTTTAATTGAGGTCTTTGAACATTTTAGGTTACTACAGCATCTTTTAGGAGGCTTGTTGAACCTTAAGCATTTTATTGTAAAACACGGTCCCACTACAAACAGAACACAATACAACTCCAGCACACACGCAGGCACACACACATAGGGAGATATTAGCCAGGTGGCATAGGACTAGTAGTAAGCGCCTGATTAGGCAGCTCCTGCGAATTCCTCAAAAATTGTATATCCTAATTGTATTAATTGTATATATATGTACTGTGAAGCGCTTTAGAGTGGCTTATGTTAGCTAAATAGGGCGCTCTATCAAATGTTGTATATTATTATCATTTGTAAAACTACTTTTTAGGAATAATGGGAGTTTAAGGTGGGTGTCAATCACATGTGTCGTTGAACTTTTACCTTTCATGAACAGTGGGGTTTAAGATGCGTGTCAGAGACACATATGTCTGTAAACTTTACCTTTCAGGAACAGTGGGGTTTAAGATGCGTGTTAGAGACACATATGTCAGTGAACTTTACCTTTCAGGAACAGTGGGGTTTAGGATGCGTGTCAGAGACACATATGTCGTGTAACTTTACCTTTTAGGAACAGTGGGGTTTAAGATGCGTGTTAGAGACACATATGTCAGTGAACTTTACCTTTTAGGAACTGTGGGGTTTAGGATGCGTGTCAGAGACACATATGTCGTGTAACTTTACCTTTTAGGAACTGTGGGATTTAAGATGGGTGTCCAAGACACATATGTCGTGGAAGTTTTACCTTTCAGGAACAGTGGAGTTGAAGATGGGTGTCAGTCACATGTGTCGTTGATCTTTACCTTTCAGGAACAGTGGGGTTTAAGATTCGTGTCCTAACACACATATGTCATGTAACTTTTACCTTTCAGAACCATTGGGGTTTAAGATGCGTGTCCGAGACACATGTGTCGTGGAGGTTAACCTTTAAGGAACAGAGGGGTTTAAGATGGGTGTCCGAGACACATATTTCGTGTAACTTTACCTTTCAGGAACAGTGGGGTTTAAGATGGGTGTCAGTCACAGTGTCATTGATCTTTACCTTTAAGGAACAGTAGGGTTAAGATGAGTGTCCGAGACACATATGTCGTGGAATTTTACCTTTCAAGAACAGTGGGGTTTAAGATGAGTGTCCGAGACACATATGTCGTGGAATTTTACCTTTCATGAACAGTGGGGTTTAAGATGGGTGTCCGATACACATATGTCGTGTAACTTTACCTTTCAGGAACAGTGGGGTTTAAGATGGGTGTTAGTCACATGTGTCGTTGATCTTTACCTTTCAGGAACAGTGGGGTTTAAGATGCGTGTCCGATACACATGTGTCGTGGAACTTTTACCTTTTAGAACCAGTGGGGTTTAAGATGCGTGTCCGAGACACATGTGTCGTGGAACTTTACCTTTAAGGAACAGAGGGGTTTAAGATGGGTGTCAGAGTCACATATGTCGTGGACTTTACCTTTCAGGAACAGTGGGGTTTAAGATGGGTGTCCGAGACACATGTGTCGTGGAACTTTACCTTTCAGGAACAGAGGGGTTTAAGATGGGTGTCAGAGTCACATATGTAGTGGACTTTACCTTTCAGGAACAGTGGGGTTTAAGATGGATGTCAGTCACAAGTGTCGCTGATCTTTACCTTTCAGGAACAGTGGGGTTTAAGATTGGTGTCCGAGACACATATGTCGTGTAACTTTACCTTTCAGGAACAGTTGGGTTTAAGATGCGTGTCCGAGACACATATGTCGTGTAACTTTACCTTTCAGGAACAGTGGGGTTTAAGATAGGTGTCAGTCACATGTGTCGTTGATCTTTACCTTTCAGGAACAGTTGGGTTTAAGATGCGTGTCCGAGACACATGTGTCGTGGAACTTTTACCTTTCAGAACCAGTGGGGTTTAAGATGCGTGTCCGAGACACATGTGTCGTGAAACTTTACCTTTAAGGAACAGAGGGGTTTAAGATGGGTGTCAGAGTCACATGTGTCGTGGAACTTTACCTTTCAGGAACAGTGGGGTTTAAGATGGGTGTCAGTCACAAGTGTCGTTGATCTTTACCTTTCAGGAAC